TGATGTGAGTGTGGCATTAGACACAGATGCACTGTCAAATCCTAATCCGGTGTAAACATCAAGTATGTCATTGCAGCTACATAGCATGCATGGCAAACAATGGTTATAATGTAGCTGTAGCAGGACCCGGTCCCTACGAGCCAATCAGCAACAAGCAAGATTATACAACAAGGGTTTCACTGTCATCTAACCCTGCCTTTTGTATTCACTTCCACGGAATGAGACGGACCGAAGTTAGCGAGGGGAGAGATTTATTTTATTGTTCATGACTTTAGTGACTTTAAGTACTGTCAGGACAGTTCTTCACCTGAACAGTGTTTACAGGTAGTAAAGTGGTTATTACGGTAATTATTAGACATGAACCCAGCAAAAATTATGCTGTGACATTTAAAAATGTTATTTATTTGTGCATCTGTCCACCGGTTTGTCTCTCAGTGCAGCTTTTACAACACTTTTTATTGTGGTCTTTTCCTCTCCGTCCCTTTTTATAAAGCTCTTTGATCTAAACCTTTCAGAAAGTGATGTTATTGAATACTGCGGAAATAAGTGCAGCCCATGCTGAAATGATGAGTTACTCGCTGTACAGCAGCACCATGTTTTTAGCCTTTCAACTTCTATGTAAAAGTAATTGAGGCCAGTGGAATAAAAGCATGCCTGGAAGCAGGACGGGACTTCAGCTGTAGCAGTAGGTTTGCCAATAATGGGCCAGTTTTCAAGTTCAAGATTAAGTTTGATTTCAGTGGAATCCTTACACTGTATTAGTACTAAAATGTTTTATTTTACTTCAGTTTCAGTCTAATAATACTGATATCAGCCTTGGGAAAAATCCATACAGCTGGGTAACTGAAATGCATCACTTGGTTTAGTAGAATCATGCATTCCTACACATCAGAACTCATTGCACTACAATAGATCTAATTTTCCAAAGGAGGAAATATAAACCATGTAATGCGAAGATCTGGCAGACGGAAGCTTTCGGCTGGTCACGTTGTGTTAACTGATATTTGACTGTGTGTTACAGGTGGAGGTGTTGTATGGAGATGAGCCCTTGAAGGACTACTACACACTAATGGATATCGCCTACTTCTATGAGTGGAGACGGGTGAGTGACAGCTTTGATACTAAATACTGTGGACCACAAATATTTAACAAACCTGAACTGGATCACTCTTGTCTTTCTTGTAGTTAGTGTAATTTAATTTTTTTGTTGTTTCAGTCAAATGGGATGAGTAATCTGTCTTTAGGTTGGCTTGAAATGAGAAAAGTACCAGTGCTTTAAATCATAGTGTCTGTTAAAGATTTGAACCAGAGGGAGATCAGTCAGTCCTTCCAGGATTTCACTGGCTTTTTTGGGGAATGTTGTGGCCTGAAATACCTGATTTCACGGCAGCTTTTCTAAAAGAAATTGTGATACATGTTCAATGTTTTTAGGCATTTATTTTGCGATGAAATTGCTGGAGAAAGTGAAAATTGAAAAAAAAGAATTAGCTATTATTTTGTATAATTCATAAAAAATTCAAGGCAACTTGTTCCAGTGTGAATAAAACCATGAGAATAAAATTGGACAGGGCAAATGTGAGACATTCATGGGACCCATGTCTGCATCTTTACGACCAGAAACAAGGAGGTGAGTTTGGCTCAATTGTTTTCTTGGGAAACTACAATGGTTGGTAAAATTTGCAGAAAGGTTGCGGTGATTGGACAGAATTGGAAGGTTGTGCAGAATTCACAGGGATTGGTTGATTGTTGCAATCACAACTTCCTGGAAGGAATGCTCAGTAATGAAGCTACATGTTTAGAAGTTCGTTAACCTTCAGGGTTTAGGGAGGTAGTCTGCTTTGTGCAGTTATGTTCAGGTGTTTGGATTCTGATAAACACAGTCGCCTCAGGACACTACCATCACTCCAGGATCCAGTGGACTTTACAGAACACCTAGAACTGGCCAGTTGTTTGTGGGCTTTCTGCAGAAACAGAAGAAGCACTGTGGTCTCCCTGATTTTCCCCTCTTTGCAGTGTTTCCAGGACTAACATACTACAAATCACTCGAGTTCACTGCTGACAATTCTTTTGTGCATGCTTTTATGTTTTCAGATTGATTACATAATAAGGAGCCAATAAGAGCTCATAATCTATCTATCTAGCATTCTATTCCTGTTAACATTTGGATGGCTGCTACTCCAGCATTAATGTTTGGTGCATTCAAATGTTTGTAGGAAACTGCAGCTCCAAGAGTCAGCAGCCAAATAGTAACTTTTTTTGTGCATGAAATGATCAAAGTCCCATGATCCCTAGTTTTTTGTCAATGTCAGATTGTAGTTTGTCTTGTGAGGTTGATTTTCTCACAATGTAGCTTCTCAGTGTTTGTCTAGATTTCAAACTAGTCCCTGCTCTCATCTGTACAGCAACGTGACAATAACGCAGCTGTCATTAAAAGATGAAAATAAAGCTGACTCATAGTTTCCCCACATAAACTAAAACCAATGACTGACTGATGTTTTTGGAGGGAGCTCCTCTAAAACACAATTTGTATCAACAGAAAGCAATAACTATAGTCCTTCATCATGCTGACATTGTGGAAAACACGTTTACATAATGCCACAGTCATTTTAACTTATTGCTGCTGTTTTTTTTATTTTTGTTTATTTTTGTTTTGGTTATATGTTTATAGTTCATGTTGCTGCTGCGTTAGTGAAACATGCCAACAAAAATCAATAGTATCATCTTATCGAGTATGTTGCTCATTGAGAGTCCATATTCACGTGGTTGGCCATTTGCTATAAACTCCCTTTTCATATGGACGCACTCACAGCGGAGTTGGGGTATCCTGGGTGGACAGAGTGAGCTGATAACCCTCTTTTTGAGATGGTTTAACTGAGATTGATATTATAAAAAATGACATGAATTGAGTAGTTCCTACTAATATCAATATCCTTTTTGTCAATTGTCCTTAGGTAACAAACAACATTGTTATATTAAAGGATGGGGCTGGCGATCTGATCTGATGAAAAGACCAAAATAAAATACCTCTCCATCCTACCCTTTCTTTGCCTCTCAGCCCAGGCTTATTCATTCCTAATAAAGATGTGATTCTTTAAAAACTGGTAACAAAACAGCAGTGGGAACTGTAGTTTTTGGCAAATATTACTTTAATAGTGCAGAGTATTGACAGCAGCAGGACAGTGTATGTGTGTGTGTGTGTGTGTGTGTGTGTGTGTGTGTGTGTGTGTGTGTGTGTGTGTGTGTGTGTGTGTGTGTGTGTGTGTGTGTGTGTGTGTGTGTGTGTGTGTGTGTGTGTGTGAGATAATTAAGGAATATGTCACCCAGTGCAATAGTGTTTTTAATAGTTTTTGGACAACAATGGGACACAGATAATACTTAATAGGATCTATTCAGTGATGGTTCTGGTCTTTCACTAAATTTGTTGACAATTTTTCACCAGCCTTATCATTAAACTGTTAAAGACAGCAAGTTCTGTCTATAAATGTGCCCACATATTGGTGAATTATAAAACCTGAGCTCTTATCCACAGTCCTAACAATGTGTGTACCTCTGTGCAGACTGGACCCATCCCATTGCAGTATCTGGTCAAACCCACCCGGAAGCGCAGGAGGCCGTCCCAGTCTGCCGCCCAGGGCCACTCCGATGGCGTCAACACCAGTCCGACGTCAGAGAGCGACTCCCAGAGTGACAAAGTCCACAGTCCCGCCACAGCCCAGCCGCCCCGAGCCTCCTCGCAGTCCAGCCCTGCGTCCCATGACCTCTCTCCCGCCATCCAAAGCTCCAACGGTACCACTGTGCCCAACAACACTCAGCGACACACTCTCGTCTCCAAACAGGGCGCCAACGCTCGGAAGGTGACTGTCAACGGCACAAGCTCTGGGGCCGGCAAAGAGGAGGCGAGGGGAGCCGACAAAAGCGGTTTGCCTCCGACAACCTAACGTGCATACGGGGGCAGTGGGGAGGACAGTACTGGAATTGCTCCCTTCTTTCTTTCTACAGAGTAAAAAGACGAGCTCAAGCCTTCTTCCTCCTGGACAAACCGGAGGAAGATTACGGTCATCATCTTTCAGCAGGAAAGACTGAAAAGTGCAGCCAAATAGACACTTGTATGTATGTATGTGCGTGTGTGTGTTTGTGTGTTAGACTAGAACAGTGCACACATACAAACTGTACAGTATGTATCAAATGTGAGCATGTGTGCATACATATGTATAAACTTATCTTTTATACAAGATATTGTAATCGTTTTGTATTGTATATGCAGTGGGTCTGTTTCATTTCCATAGTTCCATCAGCGTTCATTTGGCTCCATTAAACTTGAGACAAAATGCTGAGAGGCATTGCAGTGTACATCGCTGCAGGAGTTGGATGTAAAGAAGAAAAAAAGCTAATCCTCGCCTTTGAACAGTCATGTTAATAACTGCTGTATAAGTGTCCAGTATAGGCAACCGCTCATCAGGTAACACAGGTACATTACATATAACTGTTGATGCACTTTGTTGAGGTCAAATCACACAACCCAAACCAACAAGTATTTTCCGACAGGAGAAGCATTTATATTTACAGAATACCAAGCACTACCATGCTTGCAAGCATTTGTTTGTCAGCAGACCACGTTCTCTCTCGCAGTCAAAGAACTCAAAAGGGATTTGAATATTTGGCCATGTATGTTGTTGTTCCATATTTTCAACATTCCTTTTGTTTCTTTTCAACAAACAATGATACTTTTTTATCAGCCATATGTGCATGTTTTAGGTCAATAAAATGTTTACTTACTAGGTTTTTCTGACCTGAGTGTCCTGTTTATGATTCCATGAATGTAGCAGATTGTGAAGCATGCTTTTGTGGATGTAGCACAAATGGAGAGGTAAAAAAACTAAATACATAACTCACTTGGTAGAGCTGGTGCCCCATGTACCAAGGCTGAGTCCTTAAAGCAGCGGCCTGTTGCCCTTTGCGGCAGCTCTCTCTCTCTCTCTCACTCATCAGGCAGTTACAGATTAAAAATGTAATCAGTTTAATAATTACAGGTACATAATGTAATGTCAACAGCTCTTTTTCAGTGCAGTTTCCTACAGTGAGCTACAGCACAAAGTGTTCAGATCACTCATTGTGGCATAGTTCTCTGAACAGGCAAGGTTTAAATGTATTAATAATAGTGTGTGCGTGTACCCTAACCCAAAATGTGTCAGTAGCTCACGTGCAAAGCTGCTTGGAAGAAGATACAGTTAGCACTTTTCTCTGGGTCCTATCTGCAGGTCCGCCAGGGCCAACCCTGGTTGACATGATGAAGTTTCTGTCAGAAGCATATAAATACATCCCCAAAAGTTAAAAAATAATGTGGCATTTTATATGTGGAGAGGAGGATTTATGGCCCTGACAGATATGCTACTTTACGGAGTGAGCTGTAGGACACTGCACTATTACATCCTCCCTTCATACACACACTTCACAGTCTAAAACCTCTACACAGACAATATTCTCCTGTAAAAGCATTCTCTAGATCTTGAGTAGTATTGAAGATAATACTGTTATATCCCATCTTTAACATCCTTTTCTACAGAGTGTGGTGGTAAAATCTCCACCCTCAGACAGTATATCATCTTATCATTCAACCCTGTTTCCCTGATAAACGACAGAAAGCAAGGGCTTTTCATAGCCACTCTCTTCTCTGTCAAGCACTGAGAGAAATACTGATAAGACACAAGAATCAGACACTTGAAATGGTCAATCAGTTTACATGTGCTGTTCAGTTCAAAGATCTCTCTGCATTCCTTTTCAAGAATCAGTTTGCTCATGTAGCGGGGCAGATATGACGAAGTCCTGCTTGTGCGTGCCGTCACAGTAAGGCGGATTGTTTGTGTACTTGCAACCACACAACCAAGCCGTGGCGTCTTTCTCTGGGACAAAGCGTAGCGGGGACAGGCCTTGGGCTTTGGTTTTGTGGGCTCCGTCGCAGAAAGGCTGAAAGATAAAACATGTACTTTAGACAGGAGTGATAGAGACTTAGACTTATTGATCCTTTTGGGATGACTCCCGCAAGGAAATTTAATTTCCAGCCGCTTACAAAACAGTGTAAAATAAAGAGGTATAAAAAAAAATACAGTACAAGATAGACAATAAACTCTTTGCTAGATATAGAAAGTAGACAATAAACAGTAAACAATAAACTCTTAGCTATATATACAGATGATGTCAAACAGTGGTTTTACCTGTTTCTTGCTGTGTCCACAGGTGCACCATGAGTAACGCTTTCCACCGACCAGCTCCACTTTGAAAGGCTTCTTAGAGGGTATGACAGGTTCTGGAGGAAGTGTGGAGAGCTGGACCTGTGGACAGAAGCATATAAGAGAACTCAGCTAAAAGGTCCAGTGTGTAGGATTTAGTGGCATCTAGCAGTGAATTTGCAGATTGCAATTAATTGAGCATGTGTAACGCAAAACAACATGCTGGACTCAGTGGAAGGCGACCCATGGCGTCTATAGCTAAGAACAGCTCATTATTAGTAATGAAAGCATGACGATTCCCATATTCCAATCACACCAAAACAATCCAGACTGATAAAATAAAGGACTACTTTTGATTTTGGGGTGAACTGTCCCTTTAAAGCCTCTACATACCTATGGAACACCACAGGTGTTTTCACTTCTGCCTGATTAGACCTCCTCTCTAAACTCTGTGGCTGTGTGCAGGCTGACCTCTCCCTGAGTCTCAGTCAGTTCTGTTAGACCGGTTAAACGGTATTTTAAGAATGGCCTCTCAACCCACCCAGGTGTGTTAAAGCCATTTTGCTCCAGCCTCTTTTTACACTGAATATGGGTTGAGCGCTGCTGGGTCAGAGTCAGAGCTGTAGGTATTTGTGCTTAAAGTGTGTTAAAGCTAACATAAACGGTGTCAGTCCGGCCCAGACAGTCCTGAGGGAAGGTCTAATCAGGCTGGGATTAAAAACAGCTGTGTCTGTGCAGGGGCTCTGATGCTACACAGCAGGTGGTTCTACTATTCATAGCTTCTTTATAGGCTATAGGCTGCTGTCAGGGGGCTAGTACGAGGCGGTCGTGTTTAGAAAATAATGGACGGTACAGTATTTCTGTCTAAAAGGTGTCGTGGTAGGAATTAAGTCTCAAAAGTGCACTGAAGTCTACAACATTGTCCAAATAATACTCAGTCGGCCGACTAACAGAGGAAAGTTTATCATGTTTAAAGGAGGCAGGGGTTTATAAAAGGGCTTCATTTACCTTGGAAGCTGCCCTAGAGGTTATCCAAGGTTGTCTCAAGGTGAAACTGATCCATTTGAGGTCTACTTTGGTCACCAACGTGTTCATGTCTGTTTCCAATGACAGTTCAACTTCAGAGCAGCCTCAGCTGGCTACTGTCCAAGTCGCGCGCCGGTGAAAAGAACCGTGAACGTGACTCAAAGCCCCAATGACGTCACAGCTACAGAAAGTATAAAAGGTCAAACAGAGGAAGAAAAATAAATCACACTCCCCGAGGAAGAGTGCAAGATTTCACAACCCGACAGCTGACCAAGGAGATTATAGAAATCACTTCCTGTATGGTCACGTGTTAGAAGCTGACCCAATCAGGAGGCTGCTATCGACCAGGCCACAGATTGAATTGAAGTGATGTTCAATGTCCAAACAATAAAGAAGTAGCTAACACTAGGATAATTCAGCATTCAAGACCTAACTGCTATTGAGGTCATGTCCTCTGTTTTTTCTGGGAATTTGGGGACCTGTAGTGCAGTTTACCTCTTATAAAGTTATACAAAGGGGATACCAATATTTTTAACACAAATTAAGACATTATAGACCTTTTTCACAGCAGCCATTTTGACATAACGCAGTAGGGTAAACATGTGTTACCAACTGTTCCATTCAGGTGAAACATTATTATTATTATTATTAACTATTTTGCATGTTGGCTCACTGGAATGTAACAGAACAATAATTAGAACCATTGCACCTGTGTTTATCCTACTGTTTTATGTCTCAATGGCTGTTGTGAAAAAGGTCTATTACAATACAAATGGATACATTTCTGCAGCGGCCCAGCATCTGAGTCCGACCTGTGGCCCTTTGCTGCGTGTCATCCCCTTTCTCTTCCACCACCCCCCTTTCCTGACACTCCCCAGCTGTCACTATCAATCAAAGGAAACAATAAAAATAAATAATAAAAAATCTACATAAAAGTCAGAGACATTAATAAATCAACATCAGAAGAAACATAATAGTCAGTTTGTCATTGCTTAGGTTTGGGACAAGCTGCTTTGACTTGGACAACACTGGTTTTCAAGCATTTTTAATGGGTAATGCAAACACTGGTTACAAAAATATATATACTTGTCATTGTTTTCTGTTTTGTATTTAAGGTTACTGGTCCTTGGCCTCCCAGTGCAGACATCTTGAATGCTGTTCATTTAAAGATGCCTTTCACCGACTTCACTAAATCCTGGAATATGACCTTAAAGTGCGAGCCGTCACAGTATGGCGCGTTTTTGGTTTCCTTACAGGCACACAGCATGACCATCCTGTCCTTTTCAGGGGTGAAACGTAGAGGAGAGATGCTCGGAGCTTTTATCCTGTGAGCTCCGTCACAGTAAGGCTGAGAGAGAGGGAGAAAAAAGGTGTGAGGACACAGACTTCAGTTCACATAATGTTTAAGTATTTCAATGTCAATTTAGCATTTTTCTTGACTACTTTTTGGATTATTCTGACTTAAGTTTATATCCCTAACAGCACATCCATTATTGAATGCATTTTGATGATGTAACTATCCAAAACACACTTGTTTTTTTTCCCTTTTCCAGCCTGTGTACTCAAAGAAGTACACAAATAGTTCAGACACGGGTTGGAAACATTATGTATACACCCAATAGTTTTAATAGCATCATATTGTAATTTTAAAGGGCCCATATTGTAGAAAGTGAGATTTCTATGCCTTTTTTGATAATAAAGCAGGTCTAGGTGCAATATAAATACTGTGAAAGTATCAAAATGATCCATCAGGAACAACCGTCTAGGTGGGCAACAATCCGTTACTTGTGGTTGGCCTGACTGTGTGTCAGTCAGAAAACAATTAGCCAATCAGAAGAGACGCTCATTAATATTAATGAGACAAAACAACACAAAACACCCCGGTTCTCGCTACAGCTCTGGAGAGAAGTGTGAGAGAGGAGATGTAAAACTATATTAGACACTTAAAGGTACTTAAAACCATAAATATATCTTCTGATGGATATCAGAACTTCACATAAAACACCAGAAAAGTGTACGAGACCTTTAAATTAAATGATTTTTACTCCTTTACCACAGCAGACATTTTACCCATAGCAACAAAAGCACAAGTGTATATAGGCTACACTATTTTAGGGCTGCAACTAACAATCATTTTAATTAGCGATTAATCCGTTGATCAATTTCTTAATTAATCAATTAGTAGATTGGTCCATGAAATGACAGAAATTTGTGAAAAATGTTTATCAGTGTTTTTCAAAGCCAAAGTTTACATCCTCAAATGTTTTGTCCACAGCCCAAAGATATTCAGTTGACTGTTGCAGAGGAGTGAAGAACCAGAAAATACTCACATCTGAGCAGCTGAAATCAGAGAATTTGGATATTTTAAAATGATTACTCAACTATCAAAATAGTTGGCATTGAATTTAATGGTCGACAACTAATTGAGTTATCGACTAATTGTTGATGTGTCTGTTTCAGTGCCCTACTTTACTGTGCATGCTGCCTCACTACCATTACATACTGTGAATAGAGTTTTTCCTGCTATGATAAGTCAAAAATCTGTCTTGAAAAAAGGCATTAACAACCCTATTCTCAGTCAGGGTTGATCCCACGTGTTATGCTAACATACAGGATTTCTGGGTAATGAAGTCAAATGGTCATTCACATCCAGTCTGTTAACTTTTGCTATCAAAGTTCAAAGTCGCCTGGTGAAGGTTTAGTAACAGTCTGGCCCTCTCCTTTATATTACTGAGATCTCTGCACACATATAACAGTTTGATGACATAAAGTGTCCAACCCTAACCTTAGTTTGTGCATGCTCTTCGCTGGCTGAGGAAATTCAAGTCTCTGCCAGCAATGTGCCTCTCAGAAGGCAGCTGTCCAGCTGGTGGGAATGTAAACTGAGCATATAGACGGCAGTTAATGAGCCGTGACTGGCGCGCACACACACACACTCACCTGTTTCTTACTGTGTCCACAGGCACACCAGGCATACCGTTTCCCAGCAGACACCTTCACTCTGTAGGGCATCCGGGCCGCAGAGACAATCTCTGTGGACTGCCGGCAGCACTGAACCTGCAGACAGAGTGAGCTGTATGTGACACAGAGCAGCAGCAGGTATATACTCCAGGGTTTAAGACAATTAAGACTTTTTTTTATGTCCATACTGGCAAAAACAGTACGAAAGATATGAAGGAAAATCTGTATTAGTTTTGTAGTTTGGAGAAGAAGAAAAAAAACACATTTAAAAGTGAGAATGAAAAATGCAACTTTATACAAGTAGTGACATTTTGTGAATAGACGTACTTACAATAAGACAGAAACATAAAACAGTTACACAACAGTCTGAAAGTTGAAATGATTAGGGTTGGTATTAATCCAATCAAGACCTGTCAAATTCATATATCTGATACATTTTAAGACCCTGCGGACACCCAGGGTTGTGAGCAGACATATGTTTTTAGAAGACACAATGTATGGAGGGTAAAATACCCAGCAGGCTACTGATTCACTGATATAAAACATTTACATTTGATGTGAACAAGAAGGCATTTTACACCAGCCGACCACATTATAGATCCTTTCTGACAGATATATCCATATACCTGAATGACAGATCACAGATAACCATATGAAGCCACGTTAATGAGGCCTACAGCCATCCTCTGTGGCCTGCAGGCTCATTACCTAAACACATCAGTGGCAAAGGTGAATGAAGGAAGGTGTGTCAGATTTAGTGTTTGCATTAGAAACAAAGTATGCATTGTAGGCTTTTTGCCATGACTCAGCGCTCTGAAACACTCCTTACAACGGCGGGACGTCTGTAAAGGTAACATTAAAACGACCCACTAACATAAACAATAAGACTTTTAGTGGCAGATGTGCAGTGCAATGTTTGGGCTCACCATAGAGGAGGAAACAGGAAGAGGCAGAGGAGGACGTCTGAAGGTCTGTGTGCATCCTCTCCGCACTGCGACTACGAAGCCGGCTGTGTTCATTGTGTCTGAAGTCCAAGTGAAGTCGCTATGTCGGTACTTTGTCGGGAGGGAATCCTGTCTTCAGTCAGCTGCCTCAGGAAACTTGGACGGGCTCCACTTGGGCGGACTCTAGTAAAACTTCCAACATGGCCGCCCTCTGACACACAGCACAGGTGATTGGTTTACGACTGTAAACAAGCTCCAGCTAAAGCCACTCCTTCGTAATTTGTTTGTCCCGTCGCCCCCTCCTCCTCTTCCTCCTCTTCCTCCTCAGACTGCTCAGCCCGCTGTAAAAACCCACCGTGAGAGAGCAGAAAGAAGCTCCTATAAAGGCTCTCTTTGTAAGCGTTTATACGATGTAACTCAGTTTTATTTATGGTTCATAAATCACTTACTGGTGCTTTATAGGCCAGTAAAAGGTCATTAATGAAAACACATGTTCGGTTTCTATTTAGTAATAATGCCGTTTTTAGAGAAATCAAACCATCAATCATTCATAAAGGATATTTTATTTTAAAGTTTGGGTCTGCTAAACACCAGCTAGAAGTCCCTTTCATAACCTGATAACACAGAAGCTCTGCTTATTAATGGTCCTAACGGATACATAACATTAATACATTATTTTTTAAGTGTTGGGTCTGATTACTTACATACTGATACTACAAATACTTGAGTTCTATAAATATTACTGTGTTCCCTTTAAAGAGCTCAACACATTTTCAATGCAGATAAATGAATTGAACTTTTCATCTTGAGGTCTTTCCTCCTGTCAGGTCCGCCACAAAGTGGAGCCCTTGTCTAAGAAACCCTGTGTGTCAGACCAGACTGCTTGTGATGGGTTAATGGAGCATTGGTTGGCATTTTCAAATGATCGTATTTAAAAGAATAAAACAATCTTTGATTATTTACCTTATCTAATTTGTTTTTTCAAATGTAATCTGGGATGATAATAGTCATTTATTTTTGTAATCTGATTACAAAATCCTGATTACATTTAATGAGTTACAACCCAACACTGTTGGTTAACTATTAATAAAGCTATTAGCTGGTGCTTACAAACTCTTGACAATAAAAACCCTGTTAGAGGGTGTGTATACCCTTTGGACCTGCTTCAAGCTCACTTACACCAGCTGTAAAATAATCTTAATATTCCTGACTCAGTCGGATGAACAAAACTGTAAACAAACAGCTAGGATATACAAGAATCATTAGTTTATATATTCAGAATATTGTAATATGATAATAAGGATAATATTGGGACATGTGGGATTTTTAAAATAAATATTGCCAGACATTTTGACATTGTAGGCTAATGTATACATGTTTTTCTTGGTAATTAAACAAGGTTTGACATCCCACATTCAGGTACCCAAACAGTAGTCCCAGTGGTGTACCAAGGACAGCACATGGCAACAGAAATCCAATAAACACTGCAGCTCATTTTCACTCTGGCAGAATCCTAATATCTAATTATGGAATATTTCTTTCTAATATTAGGTACTGTTAAGTTCAATGTATTACAATTTAATTAATTTCCCCTTTCCTCTCTTCAAGTACATGGACCACCAACAGATAAATCAACACCCAAAAGAAAATGTAACAACTCAGTAAAATACATTTATTGACAAAAAAAGTT